CCTGCGCTCTGGACGGCACTTGTTTTGGGGATAAAGCCCTATATTCTATATATAAACCCAAGATGAAAACGCCCAAACCTGAGCGCCATGGGGCACAGGGCCTCAAGTGTCCCACGTTTGGGGTTTAGGGGTATAAAAAATCTTAAACTGGGGTTAAGGGTATATTCTCCATTGAAGTTCGTCTTTTGGCTTAACCATAATATAATTATGACATTGTTATAATGAGGATCCTACAAGGCAATCCCTGAAAAGGAAGTAGAGGGAACTCCAGAAAGTTGGAATATGGATTAATGGTAGGATCCCCTATAATTTACCTTAAAGGGGTTACGATAATGATATTCCAACTTTCTGGCTTCTACTGCACAATGAAGACTACGGGGCCTGCTTTTGGGTCGGCTTTTGGCAGATCTAAGGAGCTCACGCAGTTAATGCGACCTCCTGGCCGTCCTCCGACGTGGACACTTCTTGGCACTTTGAGGGCTTAGGGTGTAGGGTTTAGGGGTTGCGGGGGGCACAGAGGAAGGTGAACTGGACTTGGATCATGCTGCAGAGCATGGGGAGTGGATGGCTTGAGCCATTGAAGTTTTATGTCTCATGTGACGATTCCGGACCAGCCAATGTCAATATGAGGGACCAAGCGGAGTTGTTGTCATTTCGTGTCTGATGTGTCCGCTCAAGGACTATGAGGAGGTGCAGAGGATGAGCTGGACAGGGTCCAGCCGGTGGAACCCTCAACGTACTATGCTTGCAAGGTTTCGGATGTCAGCAGTTCCAGGGTAGTAGGCTTGCGACACGCACCGTTGCTTCCAATGCACTGTCTCTCCTAGCGTGGTTACCTAATCTGGCGTTCTCAACATCAAGGGGGACTTAAACGAGCTTCAGGGCTCAGGGTCTGTGCAGTGCAGTCCACCCCGGTATAGAGCTGATGATTCAAAGATCAAGACTGCAATAACGGAAGATGGTTCACCTGGCTGGATGCTGTGCTCGCTCGCCACGGGCAAAAGTTTTCCCACTGCCACATCGAAACAACGGAATCATCCTATGCCTCTGCAAGTCTCTGCAGGTTTCGCTTGCACAAACAGCCTACAAAACTCGATATAGAATAAGTAACGATGTTGCAGAACACCTAGATTGACTTATCTTCTCTGTAGACGACGGGATGCAGCGGGCAAAGACCCCGGCAGCTCGCTCACAGGGTTTCACCGTTTACTCCACTTAGTTATGACGCCTCGGTCCTGGTTTTAGGGTTTAGGGCTTTGGTTTGGCTGGTGGTTGTTTCATGAGTTTCTGGTTCAGGGTTTAGGCTTTGGTGTAGGGTTTAGTGGGTTAGCATTGTGGGTGTGGTCTTCGGCTGGGCATCCGGGTGCCTCCGTGTCGAAGACCGCGTCGAGTCCAAGATCAGGGGCGAGGACGGCAAACAAGGTGTCATCAATGACAACTCTCCTGGGAATCTTACTCATTTCTCAGTCATGCTTCTCTGATTTTTTGAATCCCCAAAGAAGTCTTGACTCAGTCCCTTGCAAGAGACTGAGTATACAAAGTAATGAAAACTGCTGGAGTCTCCTTAGGAGTTCTTTTCATTTTTGTTCATATAAAACTCAAGAGAACATGTAACATAATATGTTTATTATGGTTCTAAGGGGGTTTATTATGGTTCTAAGGGGGGTATGGACTGTATCTAAAGCCCGCGAGCGACAGTTTGGGGGCGATGCTAACTTTGCCAGTTTGTTCTTCCAGGCGTATGTCCGTATGTTTCATGTCATGCTGGATCCCTATCTAAATCTGAGGTCTCGCCAGCCCCTTCCAAACAAAGCCCTAAACATCATTCCTTACATCCGAAAAACCCTAAACAACCTCAACCCAAAACCCAAAACCTTAGAACCCAAACCATCCCAAACCCTAAACTCCGAAACCCCAAAATCCCAAACCCCTAAGCCCCAAGCCCGAAACCCCCACCGACTCGCCTCTTGCAGCACCCCGGCCCCGGCCGTAGTTTCGGGCGGGCAACGAAGTGAAGACCCGAGCCGGCGAGGCTTGGCGGATCCTTTAAGGGCTCCTTTTAGGGGTGATATAAGGGCTCCTTTAAGGGTGTTGTAAGGGCTCATTAATCAAGGGATCTATAAAGGTGGTTTATAGGGGTTCCTTTAAGAGCTTGTTGGGGTTAGTAGAAGGGTACTATAGGGTTTTGGAGCTCCTTGAAAAGATTCGTATGGAGTTTCCAATAAGGGTTCCTTTGAGGCTCGTTTCGGGGTTCTTTGAAGTGTTCCTCTAGTTTCTACCAAGGATTATAAGGTTTAAGCGGTTCGTGTTGAGAGCTTCGGGCTTCAAGGGGTTTCATTTAAAGATATAGATCCAAGGGGAAAAGGAGGGACCCTTAACAAGGACCCCTAGGCCCATACCCTTAATATAGCCATTATATACCCATTCTATAGCCCATTATAGGGTAATTAGGGGTCCCTCCTTTTCCCCTTTGAATATAGAGGGGCGTCGCCTTTGAGGCTTCTCGTGGTGTCGGGTTTGGGATTTACGGTTCAGAGGCTTTAGCTTGGACACAGTGGAACGGAGCGTAGTGTCGTGCTTTGGATGAAAAGTTGGGCTGGCTCGTTCCGAGGTTTTGGGTTACAATATACCATAACTGAAGAAAGGAGGCCTGCCTGAGGTGAATCTGGAGCCTTCGAAATGCAGGGCATGTTTGTAGATAGTCGAGAACCCTAAACCCTAAACCCTAAACCCTTGGCAATGCTGCGGCTGTTGGGTGGCATCAGACTTCTCTGACAAGGCCTCAAGGGCTTCACCATGGATTCAGGGGCTTACTATGGGGCTATAGTTAGAATAGGGTTTTGGGGTAGATGGCACTGTAGCTAAAATAGCTGTATAAGGCCCCTAAATTACCACAATCTGAGTCCTTGAGTTGTTTAGAAGCATCCGAAGAACAACAAGGCAACCCCCTCCCACGCCCCGCCAAAAGAAAGAGCTACAACGTTTAGGTCGAGGGTTAAGTTAAGAAAATCGTCATTAACGCTGCTATGTGGCAGACACTGCCCTGAGCGCTTGCAGTCCGCCCTTTTTCCTCCTTTGTCACTTTGCCAGGCTCCCTGCATCGTGTCTTCGAGCGATGTGCATCCCTCATGCGGCCTAAGGGGAAGTGGCCATTGGTTTACAGCTTCTCAATATGTCGATACGAAAAATGTGTATTTAGATACAAAGAGGTGGCATTTATTAGGGTATTGTGCGGGCTCTGTAAGAGTTCCAGTCCTTTAAGAGCACGCAAGTGCCACCACCTTCCGTTTGATGCATAGATAGATCTGGAAGTGCAACTGTGTAGCAACTCGTCTACCACAACAGTTGCTTCGCGTAGACCTTGAACCCAAGCATCTAAATCCAAAAGCATAATCCATAACCCGGCTCGAAATCCGAAAAGTAAACTCTACACCCTATGGACCCCAAGTGACCTACCTTTAATTTTAAGGTTCTGAAAAAGGAAACGATAAGACCGATCCCCAAAAAGGTAGTTTCTTTAGGGTCCAGGGATACACCCGAAGTGAAGGGTCTTGTGCACTATGTGTCGGACCCCGGGTCAAGGTACACGGAAAGTTCAGATTCAGGCCGGTTCGGGTTTAGGGTTTAGAGGTAGTCTGTCTTCCGTGTCTCAATAGTAGCAAAGCCCTGCAAAACTATCGTCCAATTGCTTTATACCTGTATCCCAAAGGGTCCAAGGTCACCTATATAGTAGAATCTAGGGTTTCCTTATTCGGATTCCTCATTATGGTTTGGGAAGGTGTCCCTCATAGCCGTACCTGGGAACCTTTGGGGATAAAAGTTCTTCATCCCTTTGGCCGACGATCGGTTCTAACCCTAAACCTTAAACCCTATAAACCTTAAACCCTAAACCCTGAGCCTTAAACCCTAAACCCTATCAACCTTAAACCTTATAAACCCTGAACCCTATAGGCCCTAAACCTTAAACCCTAAACCAATCAACCCCAAACCCTGCTAAGGGCTCAGCCCTACAACACCTTCGACACTGCGCGGTCCCCGGGAGCCTCAGCCCGTCCGGAAGCCTCCCGGCCCCCGACCCGAAAACCCAAAGCCTCGAAAAAAGCATATCATCGAGGGCGCTAAGTAACTACCCATACTCCCTCAGGGCTGCTTGTCCAAATTATGCGAGTCTAAGTACGCAGACTTATTTTAAACCCGAACCTCTCATAAAGCCTACCGACTCAACCCCTAAACCTTAAACCCCTGAACCCTAAACCCCTGAACCCTCACCCCTAAACCCTAAACCCTAGACCCCTCAACCCCTAAACCCTAAACCCGTGAGGCCTAAACCCCTAAATCCCTCACCCCTAAACCCGAAACCCTAGATCCTTAAAGCCCAAATGCTCCTCAATAACCTGGATATTTTTAAATTTCCTCTACCATTTTGTAGAGAGCCATAATTGTAAATAATTTTCAATAGGCTTAAAGGACAACTCCGTTATACCATAGGTGCCCTAATAATTAGAATAGGGTTTGGGGTGCATTATACCATGGTTAAACAGGAGCCCACCAATGCCACCAAAATTGTATAGGTAATTAATTATTTAGGCCCCTATACTATAGATCCCTGAAAGGAAGCCCGAGAACCCCTGGCATATTCCTTCGTTTGGGGGTTTAGAGTCTAGGGTCGTTTGACCTTGCTCTCGGCAGACCGCACCAGAAGCACTCCTGGTGGTGTTTGCTAGATTAGGTCAGGTCCTCGATGAGGTACTGAAACAGTATGTTGCTCCGTTAATTGAGAACCCGGTGGGTAACTTTAATCTACAGTAGCAGAACAAGCTTGTTGCAAGTTCAAAGTGCCGACGGGGATGCCGCTATATCTGGCTGCTGTTTTGCTGCGTCTAGTTGGCATGCCCAAGAGGGAAAACCTCAGCCGCAATCACTTGCAAACTTTACATTTGCAGTCGCTACAACGCAGCACGCCTGCTAGCATGGCTTGAGCCATTTGCCACCGATGCGCCATGCGGGGCTTGAACTTGCCAGCCACGCAGGGCACCAGCAATGCCGGTAACTTCCTTCCAGGCATGCGGGCTGCAGGATCGTCCATGCAAGTAGGATTTTGTTAGCTGCGGTGATCAGTTTCAACGGCTCTGAAGTATTGTGTCGAGCCTCTATGATTCCGCAGTTGCTCCGACTCGTTGCAGAGCCCATGTCCAGGTGTTCATCGTTTTGACTACTCGGCCAAAGACTTGGACAAGGCTGGACTTGCTGCGATGTATGTATGAAGCTTTAGGTGTGTAGAGATAAGGATCTGTAAGGTCTCTAATCTGCTTCTATGAGGGTCTTATCCAAACCCTGGACCCAGCAGCCCAAACTTTACCAGCAAAACTCTAAAGCCTGCTCCCATCCATTGTCCTCCTATGCCTGATCTCCGCAGCTTGCAGGAGACCATTCTAATTACATCGAATTTCGAGCGGGGCCCAGAGCAGAAACACAATGTAATTTAGGAGCCTGAACAGTTAAAAGACCCTGTTGGAGCAACGGTATGTCAGAGACGGAATCTGGAACGGGCTTGAACGAAGGCGCACCTTTGTAACAAGCACCATCGAGACAGGCAATTGAAATGCCCGGGAAAAAACTATGTAGGTTGCATTCGTGATGTGAAGGTTCGGCAGAATCGCTTCAATGCACTGCGGCTGCCGGTGCCTTGTCTCAAATCTCGTGCACAAGATGCTCAGTCATTCCGGGAGCTGGAGAAGTCCGGTGGTGTATACTTGGAGGACCTCGGGACTTAGTACCTTATCTGGACTTAGGATGATAGTTGTTACCTTGTTTATAACCCTAGTTACTAAGTCCCATGACCCTCTGAGTATAGTTCATGCCCAAGGGTTATCCTCCAAGCATCGCTCCAAGACTTAACAAGAATGCTGAAGCAGACAGAGGTTGTTGTGCGAAGTTGGCTCTATCATGGACAGCTTTGCTCCCCCCCCCCCCTATGCCCCCCCTCCCCCTGTCAACCCCCTAGGAAAGCTTTAGCAAGTACTTGCCAAGGTCTTGCCAAGGTTTGCGTCTCATTAGAAGCTCGGTAGGGCCTCGACCTTGGCTTGCGTAACCTTCACAGAAGCCTGCCACGGCCCTGACGGGCCGCGGGAGGTTCTGACAGGGTCGCTGAGGCCTTGCTAGGGCCTTGCTAAGGCCTTGCTGAGGCTTTGCTGCGGCCTTGCATGCTGTCGGCTTGCCCGGCGGAGGGGGCGGAGGGTCTGCTGAACAAGACTCGTAAGTGGGAAATGCTAAACCTCAATAAGACTTGCTGAGGGTGCCTGGCGGGGGAGGGGGGGCATAGGGGGGGGGAGGGAACAAGCCCATGACTCTAGGAAAGCGCAGTTCGCTGTTGTTTTGTGGTATCCTTGACGAGTCGACGAGTCGAAGCCTTAAAAACCACCCTAGATACAGTTGCACGATGAATCACTAGGTGGTAGCGCCTGACAGCCTTTTTGGGTTTGTTTCGTGTTGAAGGAACAAGAAAGAGAGACAGGTGAATGTCTCCACTGCGAGCGACCGCTCAGCTCTTCTGACGCCCACCTGCACCGAAGTGTTCTTGATCGTTTGGCTGCTGCAGCGACGGATTCATGCTCGGATTTGCTATTCGAGCCTCAATGTTCTTGCGCTACCTGTTATTGTTATACATACGCAGGCGATGCACAGAGTTAACGTAGGATGGATGCCTTAACGAATCCGTTCAAGAGTCCTGTGGTCACGACTAAGGATAGTGCAAGTCAGCTAGTGTTTGAGATGGACTATTGGAACAATATTATACCTTAAACTACCTCTTATTATAAACCCCAATATGAATTTATGGGCACCCTACAAAAAAGTAGGTTTGGTACAGTAGGTAAAGGTACGCTCAACCCCTCATGCGAAATCTCAAGGCCTTGATGTCAGTTTCACGGACTGCGGTTCCAAGGAAGATGCGGAACGTCTTCGAGACCCTCGGTGGCGCAGGTGCTCAGCCCACCTTCGCCTAGTGGATTTCCACGCTTTTGGTTTGGGATTTGGAGTCTGGGATCTAGGATATTGAGTTTAGGATGTGAGGTTTAGGATTTAGGGGCTAGCGGCTAGAGTTTAGGGTTAAGTGATTCGGGGGGTTTCGGGTTCCTTTTTATTGAAACTCCCACATGCATCCCACCTATGCCTTAAATCCTTAAAACTTGAAACCAAACACAAAAAAAACAAAAATCCAAGAAAGCGCCATGGAGGTATTCTCTGCTTCTTCGAGGAGAGTTCAGACCCAGCGTGGGCCCGGCATGTCTCAGGGTTTTCAGAGAGCCTTCCCATAGGCTCCATAGTAGTTCCTTTTTGGGGCTACCTTGGAGGATTCTAAATATGAACCCCACAAAGGAACGACTATAGAGGCTCTAGGTTGTGGAGTGTTACCACCCCGGAGAGGGTGCAAGTACCCAAATAGTCGGGTTTCAAGGTCCAAAAACCATTCAGGGTATGGATTTTCGGCCCTATAATCCTACCATTTGGGTACTTGGACCCTCTGGGTACAGCCTTCTGGGCAGATTCAAGGCTCACGCGGCCTATATTCCAAGAAGGCCGCCGAGCACATCTGGCTTCCGGAGGCCTTACATGTAGGGGCGTAAATAATTACCTGCTATATACACCATTTTGGGGGTCTCTTTATTTTATAGTTTAGTATACCACCAAACCCCTATTCTAAGTATTCAGGCCCCTACAAACTTGCCTCGGACCTTAAACCTGCAAACCCCCGAATTACGCAAAAAACACCCTCAGCGCTGAATTTCTGTTCCTTACGCCAGGGCCGCGCCGCATGGCAAGGGCTGCGCGGATGTGGCGGCAACCAGCGCCGCCTGGAGACAGGTTCCCTGCACTTCTTGTCGAGGATCGAGGTGGGATAAAGGTCCCAGATACGAGCCCTGATACAAGCCCAGAGAGCCCAATTACACCCCCTTAATTAAGGAATATGCACTTGAATCATAATATGAAGCCCCTTATAATTTATTAAGGTGTATTGCTTAATTAAGGGGTATTGGGCTCTCTGGGAGTCCTGTAATCCTACCTGCCTTCGTCCCACCTGCGCATACAGGTATCTTTGCCATTAGAATGTGGGTTTGGGGGGTGCAATACAAGTTTTTGCGTATATTGCAGCAAGACTGCAATGAGGAGGCCTGGGGATGTGCATCTTCTTCGAATTACGAAGGCATCTATATTTCATAAACCGCAATACCCACCCTCCTAGTCTCTTGTGTTTTGATAAATTACCAAGCTCAGCGCCTTGAGAGGGTGTAGGCTTTTTTTCGGTTTCAGGATTGCTGAGCAGATGGGTATGTATGCAGCGGCAGAACTTACGATTCGTACTGTCTTTGCCATCACTGCATGAAATGTGAGCGGCGAGAACACTGGGGGTCGGAGGTCTCCTTCATGGTACTCGGACAACAGGTGTGGCTGTTGCGGTTAAGGCCGTAAGATCCTATGTCCTCCTCCTTCCTGACTGAGCACTAGTCTGAAGCAATCGGTGTACCCGAGCTTTGCAAACTCGGAGTATTCGCTCCAGCAAAAAAGCGATATCTGCAAGGCTCACGAAGTCTTCGCTGACAGCGCCTGGTCTTTCGTTTGATGATGAGCGAGCCTGTTGGACAGCACAGCCATTCACACTTCCAGCAAGGTCGGGATCACGGAAACCCGGAAGGTAAACACAACCCTGAACCCGGAGTGCAGGGCGGTGCGCTGTGCTTGACCATTAGTCATTAGGATCCACTCTGTAACAGTTAGATACTATTTGGTACATACTGTGTCTATATATATATAATATATATATATACACATACATATATATATATATATCTGTACCGTAACGTGACCCCCAAATAGATTGGTACAGGGTGGGGGCAGTACCAAAGGTAAAGTGCTCTACGAAATCTTTAACGAGCCTTTCGGCTACGAGAAGCCGGAGCTGCACCTGGGCTTCTTGTTTAGGGTTGTGCTTCGGAGGTTAGGGCCGTTGAGGGTTTCGAGTGAAGTGGCGGACTTCCGTGCCACGAAGATGCTACAGTAGCATGATTCGGCCCGTCATCTCGCAACGGAGCCAACAGGGCTCCTGTCCGGAATAAAAAGCTTTTGGGTGTGTCGTAGCTTTTAAACAGTGGCGAAGCCCTTCCAAGACCATACAAAAAACTTTGGCAAAAAATCGATGAAACCCCAAAACCATAAATTTCACAAAGCCTTTTGCAACCAGGTCGATGAAAGGTCATAATCATAAGGTACCTCCACGCCTCACACCCTAGAACTAATCCTTAAGCTGTTTTTATACCCTCAACCCTAAAGAACCTAATTAACACCCAAAAAGGCAACTCCACAGCCCAAACTCTTAAAAGAAGCCCTTTGAAGAATCCGTTAAAATGGTACCCTGAAAGCAGCCCTTACAGGAACCCTTAAAGGACCCTTGAACGAGCCCTTAAAGGTACCTCTACGACATGCTCCTGATCCTTCACCATGCCCAGCTCCCCCTCAGCCGCTGCGTGCTGGAAGCTCGCTGTAACTTCAGAGAGATCCCCAATGGTATTTGTATTAAGCCCTCATACCCCCCAAAGGGTCCCTATGATTCAGATTGATTCAGGGGTACCGCGTATCGGGACCCTAAACCCTAAGCCCCTAACCCTAAACCCCTGTGGTTCAGGGGTATCGGGCTCTCTGGGCCTGTAGCACATAGGAGGCCCAAAGGGGTTTAGCCGATAGGGGTTTAGTGGGGGTTAGGGTTTCCATAATAGGGTTCATATTTTGGAATCCCTACCCCAAGAATCTTCAACCCCCCTTTTGGCCTCCCATCATCAGAGAGATCCCCAAGGGTCCAAAGGACCCAATAATTAGGTACTCGGTGTTAGGATAGTAGTTATGTATACGCTTACTATGTACTTGGACCTTTGGGGCATCAGCTTCACGTTGAGAAATGAGGGGTTTAGATTACATAGTTTGTGGTATATCTGGTCTGGAGCTTTGTGTGACGGGTTAAGGCCTTAGAGTTTTTGGTCCGGGTCTCGGGGTGTGGAGTTTAGGATTTAGTTAAGATGTAGGGTTTCGGGTTGATTTAACTAGGGTCAGAGTGCGTTTGTTGAAGCAAGGACGGCAAGGGCTATGCAGACGACATTCGGGCAGCCCGGCTGGAGTAAGTAATCATCCCTGAACGCTGCTAGCTTCAGTGCATGTTCAAGGAAGTGCGCAGGAAGACTCGCTTAGTTTGCTGAAGGTCTTGGAAATTGTTGTGCTTGCTGTCACGGTTGCAAAACATCAAATATAGAAGCCTAAAGAATTGCTGATACTGTTCCTCTGGGCTCCTTGTTGTGATTCAACTCTAAAGGGGCCCAAAGCCAAAACCCAAGCAGACCCGTATTCCCTCTTGGTAGTCCTAGGTTCCTTACAAGGTTACCCAATACCAAAAAGAGAGCCCTTTTCTTCCGACGTTATTGGGCATCCTGGTTAAGGCCCCTATATCTCCTTCATTCGCGCTCTGACTTCTCTGTGCCGAAGAAAGTGCAGGGTTGAGGGAACCCAGACCTTCCAAAATCCCTTAATTAAGGAATATACCCTAAATTATAGTAGGATCCCTATTATGATTTAAGGTATCTTCCTTAATTAAGTGAGTTTGGAAGGTCTGGGAAGATCCCAAGGCTCTGAATCTCCTTAGGACCCTAGAGCCCTAAATCCCCTAGGACCTTAAGGCAAACCCAGAGCTCAAGGTTCTGCATCGCCTGGGATGGAACGGCTTCTTGGATCACCGTAGGGATCCCAAACTCTTCGGGTAGGTCAACTTCGGCGATTTTCAGCAAGCAAGCAGAGTAGGGTTTCGGCCTTAGGTGTTCTCGGCTTTAGTGCTTCATAAGCAAAGCCGGCAGCAGGAATCAGGCCCACAAGTAGGCATAGAAAATGGTACACACGAAGCATCAGGCAAAGAGTAAACTCATGCCCATCCCTGCTCTCGGGCTCAAAATATCTCCGACAAGCCAGGGCTATGGTTACAGATGAGAGCGTTATGGCATTGGGCAGCACCTCCAAGAAGCACGGAGTGAGTTGCTGCGCCAAGGCTTCTTGGCCTACCACTTCTACCCGAACTGGCTGCCAGAAGCCAGTCTGATTTGCGGGTGGTTCGGGCTTTAGGGTTTGTGGCTTAGGGGCTTACTGTAGGGCTGAGGTTCAGTTAGTTGTGTCTCGGCAGAATGCCTGCGCTTACGAAACAAGGAAGGACATCGAAGCGAGGACGCTTACGAGCAGAAGGTCTTACAGGACCGAACCTGCTTCGTGAATTTGCTGTGTTTGTCATGCGAGTTTAGTCCCTATAGCTCTATTGTACGATACCACAAACCCCTAGTTTAGGGGCCTTAATCAAACGAATAGGGTGTTGGGCTATATTATACTCCTGGAATATTGAATGAATCCCCCAAATATTTTTGGTAATTGTTGACGGCCCTAAACTCTAAACCCTAAACTCTGAGCCCCACACCCTAAATTACATTATTCGGATTTATAATGCATGGCGGCAGGATGTGTCTGAAGTTGCGGATCGCCCCTCGGACGCAGACCAATGCCGCGCCATGCGGCTGACGGCTTGCGGTTTAGTGTAGCTTAGTACAGTAGCTGGGTAGGTAACCTTTCACTTTCTGACTTGAAAAAGAACCTACCATAATTCGATAACAAATAATCATGATACTCAGCCCCTGAGGTAGTCTGTAGCACCTATCTCGAACGAGGTGCCTTCATCACGGAATTTGGAGCCGCTTTGAATCTGTCTCGAGAGCAGCAGGCCGATCTTCGTGGCTTCAAGGGCTGGGCTTCTGCCCAGAGAGCCCAATACCCCTTAATTAAGGAATGTAGCTTCAATCATAATATAAAGCCCCTTGTTATTCAAGGTATATTGCTTAATTCAGGGGTATTGGGCTCTCTGGGTGGGTTGGGAGCTGCGGGGCTTCGGCAGCTTGGGGCTTTGCGTTTCCGGCCGTACGGTTTCGGTCTTAGGACTCTGCTTTTAACTACCAACACACGATTTTTGTGGAGTCGTTTTTCCTCTATGAGGGTTTATTGTAAGACCAGACAGAAAACAGGTTATGGTAGTGTTAGGTAGGTCTTAGGGTCTTCTGCTGCTCGAAGCAAGGCCGGGCAAGCGCCCTCGGAGGACGCCCAGTGCCCTGGAGCAGCATCGGCAGCTGTCAGATTCTGTGCGAGTAATATAGGAGTTTAAATAAGTACCAACACTATTTCCTGATTCCTTATCATAATAATAGCACAGTATACCCCAAAACCCTGTTTCAATCAATAAGGCTGCTATGTTAAGCCCATGTGCAACCGGCCCTCTGAAGCTTTACCGGCTCCTCTCAAGGGTTCCTCTAAGGGTTCCGCGAACTTATCTAAGGAATTCTTTAAGAGCATAAGGGGGCTCTGTAGTAACCCTGGTCCGACAGATCATGTTGCCAAGCTTTCCGTCAGCCCTTGTCATTGCTCTTTGCTCAAGCCCCTAACTGGACGTAGCTCCTTTCGAAACAGGAAGCCGCAAAGCCTATGCTCGAACCCCTAAAACTCCTGAACCCTTATCTGAGCCCTGAAATGCGATACCCCTTGACTCCACGGGCCACGCGCTGGCTCCCGAGGTGTCTCCGGGGGCTCGCCGCAGCAGTGCGGCAACTGCCAAAGCTTCGCGGTGCCCGACGCTGAAGTCAGCTTGAGAGAAAAGGGGTTTCAGGTAATGCCTGATCGGTAGATCCCCTTCCCCCAGCAAGGCTAGGAAACGGGATCCGAATACTTGTGGGCCTGCAGAAGTTTATTGTCCAAGTCTATCGCTGGTGTATTGCAGGCAGGACTTCGATCTATTTGGGGAAGCCAGATGGAGGGAGTTGACATCCAGTGTGGATGCCCCATAATGTAGGAACCTGACCCTGGGCCTCTAACCCCAAAGTAGTAGGATTCATAGAAGGAACCCTAATAAAGGCCCAAGGTTTCTTAATCACGTTCCTACCTTATTACAGTACCCTTACAGATCCCTTGTAGCAAGCCTCATAGAACCCTTTAACGGAACCCCTAGGCCCAAGATTTCTTGTTCCTACATTGCACTAGCAGGTGCGTTTCACTGGCACGGCTGGGGCAACGGAGCTCCTTGGCTGCTTGTCATCTTGTTTTCGTGTCACGTGCATAGATATACTTGTGTAATGTGACAGAACGGTAGTTTGTGGTGTATGTGTATAGGTATACACATGTGTATATATATATATATATATATGTATACATATATATATATATATATATATAGAAATCTGTCTTTATGAAGATATATACATATAATCTCAAGCTTCAACCATCTCCAAGCACAAAGCTCTACGAGTGCTGCTTAAACAAGATGCTTGTAGGGTACCCACAACAACTACGATCTTAAGCTGAGTAGTTTCTCAGGTGTTACGTTTACCGAGCAGGTAAGCTTCAGCTTTCTTCTGGGTTTCTTTTGGCCACTCCCAGACCCCCCAGCTACCCTCAAATACCCACCCAAATATCCACAATTAAGGTCCATAAGGAACCCTAACCCTAAACCCCAAATATCCGCAATTAAGGGTCATAAGGGACCCTAAACCCTAAACCCCAAACACTCACACTCAAGGGCCACAAGGACTCCATTAAAGGGCCACTTGCAGGCTCCTGACTGGATCCCTTGTAGTTCCTAGTGTTGATGATATAAATCCTGCATTACCCAAGATAAGAAATATACCATAATTCCCATAGTTTAGTGTCCTTAAGGTAATGCAGGATTTATATCATCCACCGTATTTTGTGGTTTTTATGTAGGATCTTGGAAGGTAATCCCGACAAGGATCTACTATGGAGCCTAGGGGTAGTAGACCCTAAACGCTATGCCCCATAGATCCTTTATGATTAAGGCAGCCCTTCAAGGAACCTTGCTTACTGAGTCCCATGATCCTCCCGGTAGACCCTAAACCCTACAGATCTCTTCAAGGAACCGTATAGATCCCTTTAAGGAAGCCTAACCCTTTCACAGGAGGCCGTGTGTACTGCTGAACCGAGCCTCAGGACACCTTCTGTTGATGGACAAAATCCTGCATGACCCTAAGGACTCTAAACTATGGGAACTATGGTATATTCCTTATAATGGGTAATGCAGGATTTTGTCCCTAAACCCTAAACCCTAAACCAGTATTTTTGGATCATAGCATCCGATGAGTCCGATCCTTGGGGGGGGATCGTATCTTCGGGTTAAGTGGGGAACCGAGCCTCAGGACACCTACGACTTCGGAGCTCCCCCGAACGAGTTGGGCTCGGTGCCTTGATTCCTGCTCTGATGCTTTGGAAGCTCTTATTGAGTTTAGGGCGTTAGGGTTTTAGGGACTCAGGGTTTAGGGTTTGGGGGTTTTAGGGTCTTAGGGTGTGGAGTAGGGTTTGCAGTAGGGTCTAGAAGTGGAGGGGTTTGAGGTGGTTAGGGTATGAGGGTGTAGGGTTTAAGGTCCAGGGTTTGAGGTTTCAGGGCTTGGGGTTTGGGGTGCAGGGTCCAGAGTTCAGGGTGGCGGGATTCAGGGTCTACCCATAGGCTCCATAGTAGTTCCTTTTTGGGGGTTACCTTATAGGATTCTGAATATGAACCCCAAAGAACAACTACCCAGAGACCCCAATGCCCCTTAATTAAACAATATACTTTAAATGATAAGCGGCTTCATATTATGATTGAAGCTACATTCTTTAATTAAGGGGTATTGGGCTCTCTGGGTACTATAGAGCCTCTAGGTAGGGCTTATGCAGTGCAGGGGCCGCCACGCATAGCCCAACGAAGCAGTGGTCTGAATATGGGTGGTTGTCAAAATCTAGGGTCCCTTTTTTGGGTACCCTAAATAATAGGTGCCGTATCATCATAGGGACCCAAAAGGGACCATAGTTTTGACAACTACCCATATGCGCGTATTGACTTATTTGTTTCTGTGGGTTTTTGTCTTTACAGTCAGTTTTGCAGTCGTGTGTGATACTCTCGGGTTAGCCTTTTTTGCCTGGACGCTCTTCAGGCGTTCACTGTTAAGCCGTAAATCATCATATTAAGGCCCCTAAGTCCTAAAGTTTAAGGTAATAATCCTCAATTACGGGCTGTTGGGCTCTTTCGGGACCCTCTTGGGTGTACGGTTGATGATATAAATCCTGCATGACCCATTACAAGGAATATACCATAATTCCCATAGTTTAGGATCCTTAAGGTAATGCAGGATGTATATCATCAACCGTACGAAGCCCCGCGAGCTGAGGATCTGGTCCAGGCTGTACTGGAGGGCTGCGGGATTCAGCCCTTGCACCTCGGAAAGAAGTGTCACACTGGGATAACGGTTTAGGGATAGGGGTTTAGGAATAAGGGTTCAGGGTTTAGGGATAGGGGTTCAGGAATAAGGGTTTAGGGATAAGGGTTTAGGGCTAAAGGTTTCAGGGTTTAGGCTCTTGTTAAGGGATTTAACGTACCTTCCTAAGCAACCATATTACCCATAGGCTCCATATTACCCACAGGCTCCATAGTAGTTCCTTTTTGGAGTTACCTTATGGGATTCTAAATATTACCCCCCCCAAAAAAAGGAACTACTACAGAGCCTCTAGGTATTTACTATTTGCTATAGATCGGGGCCTCCCCCCAAAGTCACCCATACACTGGGCTGTTATGCTGCAGCTGTACGAAGGCCAGCAATGCCTCTATGTAATCAAGTTCAGGTCGGTCAGGAAAGCTCTGAAGCTCGTCGCTGAAGACTTCCTCAAACCCCAACGCGTATTGGCGGTAAACTCAACTTTTCAACTTTTGGGGTCCTTATTAAGGTAGTCGATTCTGAAAGTTTCAACTTTTATTTCCTTCATTTTTTGGGCCAGTGAGAAAGCCGAAACGCTTCTCTCGTTTCCTGAGCAAGGACTTCTGGCACAGATGCAGAGTCACTGAGCCGCAGCTGGTCCACACAATGCTGGAATCTCTAAGCAGCAGGATGAAGGTACCTGAGGACTTTACAAATATAGGGGCCTTACTAATTACCTATACCATTATGGGTGTTCCCTAATATGATAATACTATAATGGGCCCCAAAACCCTCTTGTAGGTATTAAGGCCCCTATGTTACAGGGTGTGGGGGTTTAGGGTTTCATGGCCTGGGGAAATTCTGCTCGACCATCTTCTCCACTCTGCGCCTGTTCAGCCTAAATGATGGGCTGAAAAATTCCAAACCCTAGACCCTTATACTCCTCAACCCCTAAACCCCTGAACCCTAAACCCATAAATACATAAACCCTAACTCCCAGGGCAGGTCTCTGTTCTAGAGAGTTTTGCTAGGCCCGTGGCGCTCTTCCGGAAGGGGGAGATGACGTACCTGGTCTTGCTCTCGGACCCTGGGACGCTTTAGATCTAGGGTCAAGATCAGGGTTAAGGGCATGAATAGGCTTTAAGTGTAGGCCTTGCGTGTGTGGGATTTTGTTTGTGGGGTTTGGGCTTTACCTTGCTGCAAGGTAGCTTAGCCAGCCGGACACGTACATTTGGAAATCACACCCCGAGACGGGCAAAGGATGTGAAGTCCCTGCCCTGTGCCTCAGGATGCGCGATTTCCGCACATGCCTGGCTGGGGTTGGACCTTCGAGCGGATCGCGTGCTACTGCTGGCGGGCAGCTTGCCTGCACATTTCTACCACTGATGGTTTGCGAGAGCCGGTAAGAAGAAGCAGCACTGTGCACGGTACTATATTTCGCCACGAACAGATGTCATAGTCAGTTATATGCAAGCTGCAGTGTCTATTCTGCCATAATGGGTTATAGCACGATTATGCCATGTACTAGATAATGTAACACAATTACCAGGTTATCTCATGCATGCATTGCACATCGCCAGGAAGCGACCGCTCCAGCCGATGCCGTGCCGGTGCACTGCTGGCGTGCCTCGGCCATGACATGCCGTTCAGGGTTCAGGGTCTGTGTATGTCCCATGCGACGGGATCGTGAAGATTCTGCTGCACTAGTAAAGTTTCGACCCTTGTTTTTTAAGGTTTGGGTCGAGGGTTTAAACTCAAGACCCAAAACTTCCAAAGCGCACGTTGTTTTGACAGGCAATGGCGAAGCCGCCCTCTATGGCATCGCCAGCTACGAGCCTGCAGCACTCGCTTGCGGCTTTGCCTTCGAGTCTGTGGAACCTTAGCTCCTACAGTATCTACAGATCTTGTTTTTGGAGTCCAGGGCTTGGGGTTCTGGGTTTTTGAGTTCGACATCTACGCTTAGGGTTTAGAATGCGGCCTTCGGGAGTGTTGGTTCAGGGATCTTTTGGCGCAGATCGCGGGATGGGATAGGAGCCGACCACGGAGCCAGCGATGCCAGCGTTCAGGGACCGTTAGCCCCAAATCGTCCTATGCTAGACCCAAAGGGTCTTAGGTACTGTTATGGGGGAGACATTCCCAGACCATACTCAGGAGTCCTAACATAGAAACCCTACATTCCCTAGGACCCTTGGGGACGGGTTACGAACCATATATCATGTACTCCGGTAACTTCCTATTTAGGTATCTGGAGCCCTAGGTATACGCAAGGTTTAAATCCGTGGCCCTTCAAGATTACACCTTAGCCCTCAACTCCGCTATTTTGCGTAGTGCGTAGTACTCTGTTGTTGTGGGTAAAGTTGGTTGGGTCCGAGTATGCTCTTGGGTGGCGGAGCCTAAGGCCTTCTATGCAGTGCCACCTTCTGCAAGTCCGCCAAGTGAGCTCTCTGCCGTGCATGAGTGGCGAAAGGAGGAGCCGAACGGTTGATGATATAAATCCTGCATGACCCATATAAGGAATATACCATAATTCCCATAGTTTAGGATCCTCAAGGTAATGCAGTATTTATATCATCCACCGAAGCATTCTTTCGAGAGTGTATCAGAGCGTGGATGGAATGTCATGGGGCTGTAACACGGGAGTTTCCGAGAGTTAGAGGTACCTTATTCTGGGGTCCTTATAACAAGGATCCACCATTTAGGGTACTATATTAGGGTCCCCTATTTTCGGAAACTCCCTTATGTTGCTATTGTGGAGTTACGTGGTCAAGCCACAGTATCTGCTGTGGTTCTGGGGCTACTGCTCCTCAAGTTGCAACGAGGCTATCCATGCTCCAATAATGCAGCTGCTAGTAGAGTAGTATATGGGGGATAGATGGAGATGGAGGGTCTAAGAGTCTAGGGTTTAGGGTTGTTTAGGAAGACCAAACAGGAGATGACCTACTATGCACGAGACGACTGGGAGGGCTACGGAAGCTTGCCATCGTGGGGCTGGACGCACCACCGAACCACGTCAGCACCAATGATGCGCCCGGTGTAGTGCAGATTGAACGGGCGACTTCCACCGTGTTAGGTTTGTGCGTTTTATTCATGGATTCTTATTGATTTCAAGTTTGCATATGAGCGCCTTCAGTGTCATGCTCGCGCAAGAGGCATCAGTCCAAGACCAATCTGAAAGTTGTCATCAAAGCTGAAGTTCTGATTCTCACAGTTGCAATGCCTTCGCTTCTCCCAGGTGTGGCATTTTGGGCCCCCTTGGCCTAGTTGACGGATGTCCGCAAGAACCTGGCCGTGCAGAGTGCAGGTGACTCGCTGGGTGTTCAGTTCACGTCCCAGGGCTGCCTTGTGTTGAGTAACCCTTACAGGGTCATTCTTTTAGTGACATTCAAAAACTCTGAGTGCAACCTGTAAAATCCTTATCTTAGAAGAGCCCTCAGAGGATCCCCTAAAAGCCCGGCTTTCAGAGGAACGGCAGCAGCCGGCGGTTTTTGGTCTACAGGCTGGGTACTGCCCCCACTCAGAGACAGTTTAATAATAATGGGACCTTAATGGTGGCCCTTTTGTAGAAAGTTACTGCATGGGGGCAGTACCCAATCGTCAGCTTTTGAGTTTTACGCTTTTAGGGTTTAGGGTCTGCTGGGAGGGCTGTGTAGGGCTTTTGGGGTCTGGGGTTTGCCAGGATGCGGTGGGTGACCGGAAATCTAGGATGCCCAGTAGTACCCTTATTCCCTTTTTGTAGTCCTAGGTTCCCTATAAAGAAGCTACCCAATACCAAAAAGGGAGCCCTTTTTATTCCTAGGTTACTGGGCATCCTAGGTATCAGCCTCTCGCTTGCCATCTTCGGCTTAGAGGCTCATGGGAGTTAGTAAGTATAAGTCATAATTGGGGTTATAAGTCCCCTAAGTGGGGTTATCCTAATTATATCCTACTTATAACCTTACTTACTAAGTCCCATGATCCTCTAAGGGGGGCTCAAGGCAGCGAGTTAAAGACATTGTCGGTCCCGAGTCCTAGTAGAAGAGTAGGCAACTTTTTTGGGGTAGTATAGTTGGGGTTTAGGGAGTTTAGGGTTTAGGGCTTTGTAGCTAGGGTTTAGGGTTTCCTAGTAGTAGAGTAGGCAACCTTTAACCTTTTTTGCGTAGTATAGTTGGGGCTCAGGGAGTTTAGGGTTTAGGGCTTTATTGCTAGGGTTTAGGGTTTCCTAGTAGTAGAGTAGGCAACCTTTAACCTTTTTTGCGTAGTATAGTTGGGGCTCAGGGAGTTTAGGGTTTAGGGCTTTATTGCTAGGGTTTAGGGTTTCCTAGTAGTAGAGTAGGCAACCTTTAACCTTTTTTGCGTAGTATAGTTGGGGCTCAGGGAGTTTAGGGTTTAGGGCTTTATTGCTAGGGTTTAGGGTTTCCTAGTAGTAGAGTAGGCAACCTTTAACCTTTTTTGCGTAGTATAGTTGGGGCTCAGGGAGTTTAGGGTTTAGGGCTTTATTGCTAGGGTTTAGGGTTTCCTAGTAGTAGAGTAGGCAACCTTTAACCTTTTTTGCGTAGTATAGTTGGGGCTCAGGGAGTTTAGGGTTTAGGGCTTTATTGCTAGAGTGTAGGGTTTCCTAGTAGTAGAGTAGGCAACCTTTAACCTTTTTTGGGTAGTATAGTCTCTATGTCATCTCTGCAGAACCAAAAGGGTTAACCTCTACTTCCCCATGATACCCGACAAGTAGGTAGGGCTTCAGTTATCTATAAGTAATGGGGTACTGGGTTATAAATTGAAATTGGGTGGTTTCCCTAAACTTCTAGGACTTGGAGTAGGCCCTTGTTCCCTTTTGTTTAGGGTTCAGGTTTTCTTCTATTATAAGCCCCTTTAAGCTAAAAAGGTCTAACCCTTAATCCTATAACTTCTATACATTCTAAGCCCTATAGATCCTAAACCCTCCAGATCCTAAACTCCAAACCCTTATAAATCCTAAACCCTAAGCCCCCTTTAGATCCTAAACCTAAATCCCAGCATCCTGAACCCTGCAAACGCTGGAGCCTAAATACCGAGCTCTAAACCCTAAACCTTTTTAGTTTTTAAATCCTGATGGGTCTAGTCTAGATCCCTACCCTAGGAGCCCCGAAACTTCAAGAGCGTCATCAAAGCCAAAGTTCTGAATCTCACAGCTGTGATGCTCTCGCTTCTCCCAGGTGTGCCGTTTTGCGTCCCCTTGGCCTAGCTCACTGACGGATGTCCGCAAGAACCTGGCCGTGCAGAGCGCAGGTGACTTGCGGGGTGTACAGCTCACATGCGAGGGCTGCCTTGTGGTAAAGGCGCATCCTTAAAGCAATCTTTGAAATCCCTCTATCCTACAGCGTACTCCGCTCAGAGAATTCTCAGAGTAACCCCCTAAAAGCCAGACTTTCAGAGCTCGGAGGATTTGAACCCGGAGCTCCTGGGGCGAAGATGACGGCTGCGGCCGCCAGCGAGAGGAGACGAAGCCCCCAAAGCACAAACAAGGCTCTTCCCAGGGACTCCAATATCCTTTAATTAAGGAATATTCCTTAAGTCATATTAGGGATCCTACTATAATTTAAGGAATATTCCGTAATTAAGGGATGTTGGAGTCTCTGGGTTCCGGCCGGCTCGAGGGTTTGGAGTTTGTAGGGTTTAGGCTTATGCGGCTGGTACGGCTTAGGGTCCAGAGCTTCCAGGGTTTAGCGTTTAAAGCTTGAAGGGTTTAGGGTTTAGGCGGGTTGCCCGGAGGAGTCAAGGAGTTGGAATCTGTGAGGTTTTGGGGTTGGGGGTTTGAAGGATCGCGGGGATAGAGGGGACCAAAGATGTTCAGGAGAGGTGTCTTCCCATCATGTGCGGACTTCAAAGAAAGATGTTTCGAAGATTGACTGACTTCTTCCTTCCACCGCAAGTCGCTCCAAACTAGGGTCCGTACCCCACGCCCCTGACTCCAGGAGCTTGAGTTTTCGACCAAGTCAGTGGGATGAGATCGCGAAGTACACGAGGCGGCGTGGGGGATGCAGGCCTTAACATGGAATTTCTGCGAAGCCCCACTCGTAATCTTAGCTTCCTGCGCCCCCAAGAAAGCCGATTCTTGTAGCCGATCAGAGGCCAAGGAGGCGAATATGGGGGGCCTTGATACTTACCTATACTACTTTGGGGTTCCATATTATAGTTATAGTATTCCCAAAACCCTATTCTAAGTGTTATATAAGGAAGCATGCATTAGCCCTGCCGGCTTGCCCCGGTGGGACCTCTGAGGTAACTTGTGGCTTTGCGGGCCGAGTTCAGGAATGGCAACCGCCCGGACCTGAGCCCAAAGCAATCCTTCATCGCACTGCACCTGCGTGGTGCCCCTCGTAACTTCCGTCTACTTGGAGGTTCAGGGGTAGTTTTAAGTAGGGTTATGTGCCCCTATGATATGGGTTATAAGTATATAGTTACCCTACTTATAACCCTACATATAACTACCCATGAACCTCCAAGTAGACTCTCTCCTGATGAAATGCGAAGTGTGCAAGACGAGTTAAAGCCTCTGTCTGCTGGTCCACCGCTGCGCACCCTACCTGCAGCTCGGAGTCCTCAAGGGATATCACTCTAGAGCAGACACATCGGTGTAGGGTTTAGGGTTTAGGGTCCGTAGTTCAAACGGGCCCTTCCTCGCCATGGCCTTCAGCTCCATCAGACTCGCCCTCCGTGTTCTGACGATGGCCTCCGTCCCGCTGCTTGCGCCGATAGTGCATGCGGAGTCTCAGGCACTCGCGTACCTTGGCACCGGCTACGACATCATCAAAGGGGACCCTCACGTGGAGCGTGACAGAGACCCTGGGTGGAGAAATGATATCATCGAGCGCAGCTACCTCCAGGAAGAGTGGGTCAAGCCGGATGGGAGGTGCTCGTACGACGCGACCAACTTCAAGATCACCGGTGCCAAGAGTGCTCAGTCTTCCATGAAGAGCGAGTGGAGCAGCAAGACCAGCATCGGCCTCTTCAAGATCATCCAGGCGGCCTTCACAGCCAGTTCGTCCGTGCAAACAATGGACAAAGAAAGCCGGAGTGAAGGCTTCACCTTCTTTGAAACGAGGGCTGAGTGCCACTTGCAGACCGCCAAGCTTCCTGCTCCGACCATCAAATACAACTTCACTGCAGACTTTGAGGCGGCTGTCAAGGCCATCCCAAGCGATGCATCGACACAGTGGGTCATCGACAATTTCATCGAGTACTTTGGCACGCACTACACAGAAACAATTTGCTCCGGCGGGCTCATGGGCAAGCGCTCTTGGATGAGCAAGCAGAGCTTCGACTCTTTCCAGCAGACGGCAAAGCAGAAGGGCTTCAGTCTGGACATTGCTGCCAAAGGCGCTTTCTGGATATTCGCAGATCCCCACAACTCCGAAGGTCACACTACCAACAACGATGCCACGCAGGCCTTCCAGGAAGCCATACAGTCCGGTGGAACCTCGAGTTTCTGCATCGGCTGCAGCTCCTTCGTGGCAGGCGACGCTGAGAAGCTGGTTTCTTGTTAAAGGGCTTAAGTTATTAAGTTATTAGGGATCTATAGTACATGATATGGTTCCTTATTCTTGTGGTAACTTACATTAAATCCCTTCACAAGAACCCAGGAAGTGGGGTGATCAGGTGAAGGATAACTTGGAGCCCATCGGGTCCTCCAGCAACCGTCTGGCGGCCATCAGCGAGCTCCTGATCCCAGTCCACTTCCCGAACTCCGATGCCCAGGTTCTGAAGCTAATACTGCTATGTTTTTTTTTCGGGGGGGGGGGGTCCTTATTAGTGATTATTAGTGTTATGATTATAGCATATAATGGGCCCCAAGACATTATTAAAGTTATTATACTATTTTAATTTAGTGGTTTCCTTATTATGATTATAGCATAATGGGCCACTTAGACTCATTGAGCTTATAAAGGCCCCCATTTTCTGCAAGGGCTTCCTAAGCGCGATGCCCTCTAGGCCTTAACCCTAAAGTCCTATTGAAATTTTTAAGGGCCTACATTACACAGGTCTTGAAGCTTCAGAAAGCCACGGTGGAGCGTGCCCTCGAAGCACTCTGCACCGCCTATGCGAGTGAAGGCTGCACAACGAACCCGACAGATCGGCTCGACATCCCACCCCGGACTATTATTGAAGGCGCATTCGTAAACGCTGTGCAGTGGTCCCACGATGGAGGGACCTTGGCCTCCGCCTCCGAGGACTACGTGGTTCGTTTGTGGGATGCGGTCACCGGCAGGTGCTTGCGGACGCTCACTGGCCACACCGGTGGGGTGCAATCCGTGGCCTACAGTCCGGATGGGGCCCATATCCTTTCAGGAAGTGGTGACAAGACCATCAAGGTGTGGGATGCCGATTCCGGCACATGCTTGCAAACGCTCACCGGGCACAACTCTTCTGTTATCGCTTTGGCCTACAGCCCGGATGGTTCCCATATAGTTTCAGGAAGTGTTTCGGACAACACCATCAAGGTGTGGGATGCTGTCACCGGCACGTGCTTGCGGACACTCACGAGCCCCGACCAAAACCCCGATTTCGAAGTGAGCACCGTGGCCTACAGCCCGGATGGCGCCCACATCCTTTCAGCCAGTTTTGAGGGAAGACTTTTATTGTGGGATGCCGTCACAGGCAAGTGCTTGCAGAGGCTTCACGCATCTGATGCTCCGGCATGGACCTTCGCGGCCTACAGCCCGGATGGCGCCCGGATCATTTCAGGATACGATGACTGGCACAAGGGTCCCATCATGGTCTGGGATGCGTTCGACGGACGTTACTTGCAGACGCTCACCGGCCATAGCGACACGGTGCTTTCCGCAGCGTACAGCTCGGATGGCGCCCACATCGTTTCAGGAAGTCGTGACAAAACCATCAGAGTGTGGGATGCCGTCACAGGCAAGTGCTTGCACACGCTTACGGGCCACACAGATCAGATAGCCTCCGTGGCCTACAGCCCGGATGGGGCCCATATCCTTTCAGGAAGTGACGACAAGACCATCAGAGTGTGGGACGCTCCGTCAAAGCTTCTCCAGACCTTCGTCTAACGTGCTCATGGCGCTGCTTGGGCGTCTGTGCGGGGAGAATACCAGGCGACACCGAAAGCTTCGTAGGGCGTTGAAAACAAGCGTCGACCACTGAGCGTGGTTTCATGGGCGGTACGCACTCGGGCATGGAGCTTGGATCTAGAGTGTTAAATTAGAAGCTTTTGGGGAGTTTAGCATTCGGGTTCTGTTTTGTGCTTCATGGCTTTTGCTGTTCAGGGTTTAATTGCAGCCTGTAGCATCCTTTCTTCGTCAGGGTTTCAAAATTCAGGGTTTGCAAGGGCTTCTTGACGAACAGGATGAGGATGTGTCTGAAGTTCATCAGTGCCGATGCAGAGCAACTCGGGATCACAGCACGATTCCCAAGTCGCTCCGAAAGGGGCGACATCAGATTATGATTTGATTTTGTTTCGCATGACTCGATGAGTGTACAAGCATCAGACCCCCTACAAGTCCGAGGGCTGCCTTGTTTTCAGTAGGCTTTCCAGTGCAAGCCTTGTAGTGACCCCAACGAACCTGTATAACATGGGATCTGATCAAGAAACCTTGCCTTACTACTAGGGTTCTCCATATTATGGATCCTAATGTTTTCAGTTTGTAGGACGAGGGTTTCAGGTTCCTACACTAGTAACCCATAGAATCCCAACCTTCAGAGCTGGGCAACTCGAGCCTGAGCACAGGCAAAGACGACAGCGAAGAGGCCGACGCACCAGGCCCAAAGCCGCAGCAGGCTACTATAGGGGCTTGAATAATTACCTATACTATTTTGGGGCTCCTTATTCCAATTATAGTATAAGGGGCCCCAAAACCCTATTGTAATTATTAAGACCCTTACATCACAAGAGCTGTTCAGGGAGATGCCCATAGGCTCCAAGTAGTTCCTCTGGGGGATTACCTTATAAAGGATCCTAAATTTAAGCCACAAAAAGGAACTACAATGGAGCCTGTGGGTACACGCTAGGGGTGAGGGGGGGTAGTATGGAGGAGGCAACTTCAGTCGTGAGCCGCACTGCGGGTGCGGTGCAGCTGTTGTTTGTGGCTGTGAAAGGGGCGACTTCCCTATGCCCTAAATCCAAGTTTCTCGATGGGTTTGCAAATCAGCGACGACAGTTTCAAGCTCGTGCAAGAGACATCAGACCAAGACCAATCCCAATGCTGTCATGAACGCCAAGACTCTGAACCGTTAATCCTTGAAGCCTTCGCTGCTCTAAGGCTTGGTGTTTGGCATACCCTGAAGCTTAGACCCTAGACCTGGACGAGGGGCAGACATAACAAGGAGCTCAAAAAAAAGACCCTAGACCCTAAACTCTATTTTTTGAATTCCTTTTTAAAAAGGAGTTCAAAAAAACTCTATAAGCCCTAACCAAGCTCAGCTGACGGATGTCTGCAGAGCCCGGGCTCTGGTGTTCCTTCTTTCCAGTAACCCCTGCAAAGCAACCCTGGTTGTAGAACCCCAGTAACCCCCAACCTCCCTTAAAACTCTAAGCTTTTGAAGCCCTAAAGTCTGGGCTCCAGGTGGACGACCAGGCCTTCGCGAGCAGTCCAGAGCTTGCGGACAGAGATCATAGCGAAGACTTGCAGCGGCTGCGAGAGGAGAAATGCCACCTGGGTTGGTTTTTGAGTTCTTGCACCTGCTCCTTCATTTGAATCTAGAATCTAGATTCCTGAAACGAGAGTCGCTCGCCTTAATGAAAATTGACATATCTGAAGCTAGACCTAAACCCTAGGCCCAATCCCTATAAACCTTGAAATCTGAAGCATCGCCTTGCCACGAGTGAGCGGCATTCGCTGGTGGACTACCCATGCTGGTTTAGGGTTTATACTGTAGCGTCTGGGGTTTCTAGGGGTCTTGGGCTTGTAGGTTTAATTAGGGGACAATGCTTCAAGCTGCACTTGTGGGAACGACCGTGCAGTCCTTACAAACCCCATAGATAAATAAGAATTGGTTGGACTTCACAGTCACTTCATAGCTTTATTACTTTGAAGATTAGGCCGTTCATTTTAGGGGTACAAAAAGTTATGTTTAGCAAGGCGGTAAACAGCGACCCAGTAGAGTTCTTAGCAAAATGACTATGTTACCCAGATTCTATCCAGGCCGCTGGCTTCGATGGCAAGAGCAGCCAGGACCGAATTGGGCATCAGTAGGCGGCAGGGGCCGGTTGGGGAGAGAACCCATGCGTTCTGGTGTCGAGATCACCGCCTTTCTCGAACAATGGTTGCAGGGTCAATCTGAGCCCGGTACAGGAAAGCCTCAGCAGAGGGGTGAATGAAGCCTGATACACCCTAGCCGCTTATATACCCTAAATCCGATAGATCCTAAATCGAAAAGGGCGCTCAACTAAACAAGCTGATCTCTAAGAGTCTAAAGACTCTAGAGCCTAATGTGGGGGCCTTAATTAGATAGGGCTTTAGGGGTTCCTTATGCTAGGTATACTGTACTAACAATATACCCCCTAGATTAGACCTTGAGCCCTCAAAGTGTCCCATAGAGTAGTATACCCCCATAGCCTATCCTGATAACTAGGGCACCTACATTGAATCGTCCCTAGATTGCAAACTCTCTCAAAACCCAATAGACCCCACAATTCTCAAATACAAGCCCTCACAGGAAAAAAGCCTAAATCTTCAAGCCCCTGGATTATAGAACCCTTATAGTACCCCTTCAAGGGGACCTACATTACATCTGAAAGCCCGGCTGATCTCGGAGCAGCCCAGACAGCCGTAATATAGTACACTCATGGAACCTTATAGAAATCCTTTGTATATCCCTTGCAGGAACCCTAAAAGGAACTTTAATTTAGAGAACTACCCACATGGAACCTTATAGAAATCCTTATACATCCCTTTCAGGAACCCTCAAAGGAACTCTAATTTAGAGAACTACCCACATGGAGGAGTTTCTGGGACTTAGCGGAGCTCCACAGAAGTTGGGAGCTCGGAGGTTGTGGCCTAGCAAAACAGGTAGCTATGCAGAGAATTACTGGGGGTTTGGGGTTTAGGACCTAAGTTCAGGGTTGAGGGTTTCAGGTTTAGGGTTTGGGGCCTGGGATTGCTATGCAGGGAGTTGCGTATACATAGTCGCAGACATACCTGCATAAATAGAAACCTGATTGGATCCAGCCATCCATCCGTTCGTCCGTCCATCCCTGCATATGCGACTTCTTATGTTGAGCTCGCGGAAGCCTGGGACTCTTCCGGATTGAAGGGCAGCATGCCATGCCAACAAACCTGTCTCCGTCTTCTGTCGCAGCCTGGCAGCCGGGTGTTCAGCTGATCCTGAAGCAACCTTATGGACCAGATGGCCCTTAACAGTAAGGGCATAACCTTAGAGTATGAACTCCTATATGGTGTATGAACTCTAAGCCCTTTTAGGGCTCATTTCGTCCTGAAGGAAGTGTCCCTTCATGCCGAGGCATCGGCGCTTGAATCTGAACGCCTTCGCCGTGGTCTTGAACCTTCTGCTGTCCTGCCCTAAGCAGGGTTTAGGGCTTTAGGGATTTGGGGTTTAGGGTTGCTTAGGTGCACTTGGCTTGTGATCCTTGGCTTTAGGGCATAGAGGGCGGAGGATTGTGGAGGAATTGTCGTGTCGTGTTCCGATACTGACCGATGGTGATAAATGCTAGTGTTAGGATTGGTATCAGTATTAGTAATATGAGTATTCGCACTACTATGAGCATTAGTAGTATTATCTAGTATTAGCATTAATTACAGCGATGGAGCGATTGTCAGTCGTCCTCCAACTCCAGGGACTGGAGACAGGACTCTAGATCCTCGAGCCCAGAAGCTTTAGTTCAACCCAGGGTGCGGCCCCCACTCAGTAATAGCTGAAGAATACTCATAATATAGATATATTAGGACCTTGATAGTAGCCCTATCATAGACTATCACTGTATGGGGGCAGTACCTAATGTAAATGTATATCCCCAACCCTCCTACTTGGGGTTTCCCAAAGGGTCCAAATTCTACTGTAGGGTTTTCACAGCAGGAATCCTGATTATGGCTTGGGAGGGTATCCCGTATAAAAGTATCCAGGACCCTTTTGGATTTGGATTTAGGGTCTGTCTCGCATGCTTACCCTAAACCCCCTTATCTAACTCTTGAGGCCCCGGCATTTCTGGGTTCTTGTTAAGGGATGTAATAGAAGTGACCATTGTAAGGACAGCGTATCATATACTCTACAGATCCCTATCATGGTAACTTAAACGGGTGGTTGTCAACATTAGGGTCCCTTGTTGGGTCCTTAATGTAATACGGCACCTAATATTTAGACCATAATTTTGACAACTACCCAAATAGAATCCCTTAACAAGAACCTACATTTTTTGGCTGAGCGCTGCATCCTGGGGAGGCCCTGGGTTTTCTTCAGCGCCATCTGCTGGGCCTTGTCCTTCTCACTGCACTACAAGGCATTCCGCAGAGTTTAGGGTTTAGGGTCTAGGGGTTTAGGGTTTAGGGTTTAGGGTTTTAGGGTCTAGGGGTTTAGGATTCGAGAAACTATTCAAGAAACCTTTCACATGACATTCAACATGATATTGTCTGTCTGTGTTGAATCCTCAAAGATGAGAAGATACTGCCCTGGAGCCTGCTTATCCCACAAGGATTATCATATTCTATGCAAAACAGCTAGAGTGCAAAAACGCAGGCCCCAGGACGGTCCCTTCTGTAAGGATTTGGGTTTAGGGGTTGCGATTTAAGTCAGTGTCAGCGGAGTGCTCAACAGGGGTTTGGAAGTTAGTGCTGCTATACCCTTGTTCAACTAGGATGCATACACTCGCCAACGACCCCCGCCGTGAAGTATGGTAGCTTCCGTTGCTGCCGCTCACAGGCGCCCCTGCTTGCCGGGGGCCGAGAAGACCCGTGATTTGATGGATGGTCCTGGGCTTTCGGGTTTTGGTGTTGAGTTTGGATTGTAGTTGTTTCGGGTTTGGGGTTAAGTTCAGTTTTGGCATGTGCCGCTTCGCATTCCGACCCCACAAATCCTACAGACCGTAAGCCCTAAAGCC